GATTTGAGAAAGCTATTGGCCCTTAGTTGCTGGTTAATCTTGAAGCTTCGCATTTAGGTTCAAGGATTGATCGAGTTACTGGTAATTTAGAATGTTTTTGTTGCTTGAAGTAGAGCACCCTAATTTGGGCCTTATTAAAGTCTGCGTCTTGTATGAATCTGCAACTGGGGAAAATTGAAAATATAATTTGCGCCAGAGCCAAGATGTGCACGCTTTCACATTGATTTCTTAATTCATGGGTAGTTGAAAGTATTAGGTATTATTCAGCTAACTCATTGTACTTTGGGGCCTGAGATTGATGTGTTGCAGGTATAAATAACATTGTCCAAGAATAGAAAAAAGTAGTTTGGATATGCAAGAAACTAATTATTAAGAGAGGAAGTTAAAGGTTGAAACATTTGATTCGATGTTTGTGATGGTCACAGGTGTCCTGGTCGCTTACAAATTATCCAAGCATGCCTCTCATGGTACAATAATATATCTCAGGGTGCAATCTAAAAATCTTCTAAGTATAATTGCCACATGTAAGAAAATTTTTAATGCATTAATCCACTCTTTTTGCTTGTCAAGTTTGTACTACAACTCCTGTGCTGAACAAGGCGAGCTGGAATTATTATTTCTGTAATGTGTCTAATATGTGCAAGGGTAAATAATCATTAAATTAAGTTTGCACTCTACACACTATCATTATCTATGACCAAAATTGCAAAAATATATATAAATTACAGAGTATGATTCATTTGATATGGGAATGCCTTAACTATATGACAAACTGCTCTTTGATTTCCTATGTAGGAAACTTATTCCCCACCTGACTCTGATTATATGTTCATCTCTATGCTTTAGTATTCACATGGACAGAAGTTAATCACACAATGGTACTTTCATTTACAAAATGGTACTTTCATTTACAAAATGGTACTTTCATTTACAAAATCTAATTACATATTCTTTAGTAATCACATGGACAGAAGTTAATCACACTTTGTATGGTTTAGTAACTAGTGATTGACTGGACATGCCATTGTACTATACTCTCTCACTGAATGAATGACTAACATCAAACTGAAAACATTCAGTGATCAATAACTTTCACCATTAAATCAAAGCCAAGTATTTTTAAAGGCAGCAATATAACTAATCTATGCAATCAAATTTCCTAATTTGTATGCAGATATCCAACCTCAACTAGAAAGGAAAAGCACAACTAAAACCTAAAGATGAGCACCATGAGAAACTTCCGTGAGTATTTCCTGTTATCAGGTAAAGTACTCTAGAACTCATATCTAATATAACAAGTACAGAGGAAATCTGGATTTTTGGGGTGATACATACATGAATCAATTTTTTACATACATGAATCAATTTCTTGATCTAATTACAAGCAAATTAAAGGCATGATCATCAACTTTGTTTAAAATCCATTGAACAAGTACAACGATAACAAACTTTGATGCCAAATTTGCAAAAAGGCCTAGCAGAAGCCTAAAGAGAAGCCTAAAGATGTTTAATTTATTCAGTAGACTTCCATCCTCATATTAAGTTATTTCTGTCAAATTGAACCTTGCCTTTTAGAAGGTATTAAACAATATTACTAGCCAACAAAATAAAGGTTCAAAAATAGTGATTATAGCACAAATTGTACAGCAAATTACATGTTTTCGGCTTTCTTGAATTGGCTCTGCTATCTCTAGAAGTCATATCTAATATATCAAGTACAGAGGAAATCTTGATTTTTGGGGTGATACATACATGAATATACAATATCATAACAAATGTATCGTCCCACATTTAGCTATTCTCCTCCTCCTCCTCCTCCTCCGTTTTTTTTGGTAAATCGGTGAGTAATTACCCCATGTGGTCCAGATAATCTGTGGGATAAAATTTTATCAAAAAGTCTATGGGATAAAATCTGTGGGATAAATCGGTGAGTAATTACCCCATGTGGTCCAGATAATCTGTGGGATAAAATCTAATATATCAAGTCCAGGTAATTACTCACCGATTTACCAAAAAAAAAAGGAGGAGGAGGAGGAGGAGGAGAATAGCTAAATGTGGGACGATACATTTGTTATGATATTATATATTCATGTATGTATCACCCCAAAAATCAAGATTTCCTCTGTACTTGATATATTAGATATGAGTTCTAGAGATAGCAAAGCCAATTCAAGAAAGCCGAAAACATGTAATTTGCTGTACAATTTGTGCTATAATCACTGTTTTTGAACCTTTATTTTGTTGGCTAGTAATATTGTTTAATACCTTCTAAAAGGCAAGGTTCAATTTGACAGAAATAACTTAATATGAGGATGGAAGTCTACTGAATAAATTAAACATCTTTAGGCTTCTGCTAGGCCTTTTTGCATATTTGGCATCAAAGTTTGTTATCGTTGTACTTGTTCAATGGATTTTAAACAAAGTTGATGATCATGCCTTTAATTTGCTTGTAATTAGATCAAGAAATTGATTCATGTATTTAAAAAATTGATTCATGTATGTATCACCCCAAAAATCAAGATTTCCTCTGTACTTGTTATATTAGATATGAGTTCTAAAGTACTTTACCTGATAACAGGAAATACTCATGGAAGTTTCTCATGGTGCTCATCTTTAGGTTTTAGTTGTGCTTTTCCTTTCTAGTTGAGGTTGGATATCTGCATACAAATTAGAAAATTTGATTGCATAGATTAGTTATATTGCTGCCTTTAAAAATACTTGGCTTTGATTTAATGGTGAAAGTTATTGATCACTGAATGTTTTCAGTTTGATGTTAGTCATTCATTCAGTGAGAGAGTATAGTACAATGGCATGTCCAGTCCATCACTAGTTACAAAACCATACAAAATGTGATTAACTTCTGTCCATGTGAATACTAAAGAATATGTAATTAGATTTTGTAAATGAAAGTACCATTTTGTAAATGAAAGTACCATTTTGTAAATGAAAGTACCATTGTGTGATTAACTTCTGTCCATGTGATACTAAAGCATAGAGATGAACATATAATCAGAGTCAGGTGGGGAATAAGTTTCCTACATAGGAAATCAAAGAGCAGTTTGTCATATAGTTAAGGCATTCCCATATCAAATGAATCATACTCTGTAATTTATATATATTTTTGCAATTTTGGTCATAGATAATGATAGTGTGTAGAGTGCAAACTTAATTTAATGATTATTTACCCTTGCACATATTAGACACATTACAGAAATAATAATTCCAGCTCGCCTTGTTCAGCACAGGAGTTGTAGTACAAACTTGACAAGCAAAAAGAGTGGATTAATGCATTAAAAATTTTCTTACATGTGGCAATTATACTTAGAAGATTTTTAGATTGCACCCTGAGATATATTATTGTACCATGAGAGGCATGCTTGGATAATTTGTAAGCGACCAGGACACCTGTGACCATCACAAACATCGAATCAAATGTTTCAACCTTTAACTTCCTCTCTTAATAATTAGTTTCTTGCATATCCAAACTACTTTTTTCTATTCTTGGACAATGTTATTTATACCTGCAACACATCAATCTCAGGCCCCAAAGTACAATGAGTTAGCTGAATAATACCTAATACTTTCAACTACCCATGAATTAAGAAATCAATGTGAAAGCGTGCACATCTTGGCTCTGGCGCAAATTATATTTTCAATTTTCCCCAGTTGCAGATTCATACAAGACGCAGACTTTAATAAGGCCCAAATTAGGGTGCTCTACTTCAAGCAACAAAAACATTCTAAATTACCAGTAACTCGATCAATCCTTGAACCTAAATGCGAAGCTTCAAGATTAACCAGCAACTAAGGGCCAATAGCTTTCTCAAATCAAAATGTATGAAAATTTCATTTCTTTTAGTTCTCTAATGACCTATACTTGTACTTTGACCTACCCATGGATTCCGAATTCACTGCACAAATGTACACAAGCTTTTATTATTTTTGTCTCAGGTTCGCATCTCAATTTTTTTTTCCAAAACAGAGAACACATTTCCATCAGAAACATAACAAATTATAGAAGA